TTTGATTTTTTTTAATTTTTTGTTAAATATTTGTTTTATGATTCAAGACGATTTTCAGAGAAAAAAAGGTACTCAATTATATTTTCGTCTTGATGATACATACATACATGGATTTTATTTTAAGGAAAACTTTTCCTGAAAAATGAATAATTTTCAAGACATAATTTTGTAGTAGAAAAAATCATTAATCCGCATCTTGACGTTAGTTATTAAGATCAAATTTTTGTTTACATAATTTAAGCAAAAAAAATAATATTTGAAAGTAGAGTCTAGCAAATCGAAGGTATACCTCGGTAGAAAAAAAAACACTAATTTTTCCCATTTATGTATTTTTTGTCTTCTCTCATTTTTAGCAAACTCTAAGTGCTAATAAGTTAATAATTTTTTATTGTTTTAATGAATTTTTACACACTTGTGGACTTGTGATTTTTTTTTGTAAGTTTGAAGTTTGGATTTTTTTATTTTTTTTTAATATTTATGATTATTTTTTTATCAACCGTAATCAGAAAAAACAAATAATTATTTGTAGTCAAAGAAGTAATCTAAAGGGTCTAAAATCTACACTAAAAACAGTTTTTACGAAAAGTTAACTTTTTTTCTGTTTTCTATAATAATAAAAAAAACATCTTATAATAAGGTCGATTTATTTTTTATTTTTTGTTAAATATTTATGATTCAAGACGATTTTCAGAGAAAAAAGGTACTCAATTGTATTTTCGTCTTGATAATACATCGATTTTATTTTAAGGAAAATTTTTCCTGAAAAATGAATAATTTTGCAGACATAATTTTGTAGTAGAAAAAATCAGTAATCCGCATTTTGACGTTAGTTATTGAGATCAAATTTTTGTTTAAATAATTTAAGCAAAAAAAAATGTTTGAAAGTAGAGTCTAGCAAATCGAAGGTATACCTCGGTAGAAAGAGGTGCACTAATTTTTCTCATTTATGTATTTTTTGTCTTTTTTCAGTTTTAGCAAACTCTAAGTGCTAATAAGTTAATAATTTTTTATTGTTTTAATGAATTTTTAGACACTTATTACACTTGTGATTTGAAGTTTGAATTTTTTTATTTTTTAATATTTATGATTATTTTTTTATCAACCGCAATCAGAAAAAACAAATAGTTATTTGTATTCAAAGAAGTAATCTAAAGGGTCTAAAATCTGCTCTAAAAAGTTTTTCCGCAAATTTAACTTATTTTCCGTTTTCTATAATTCAAAAAATAACACATCTATAAAAAATTGTTTTGTAGTGTGATGGTAGTTTATTAGCAACTGGAAGCTACGACGGCTATGCACGAATATGGACAACAGACGGCCGCCTTGCTAGTACTTTGGGTCAACACAAGGGCCCCATTTTCGCCCTGAAATGGAACAAACGCGGCAACTACATTCTTTCAGCCGGCGTAAGTTTCCTCTCATTACTCGACCACGACTAAAAATCGCTTTAGGTCGATAAAACCACTATTATTTGGGACGCAGCAAGTGGGCAATGCACCCAACAGTTCAGTTTTCACTCCGCCCCAGCTTTGGACGTCGATTGGCAAACTAACACGTCTTTCGCCAGCTGTTCAACCGATCAGTGCATCCACGTCTGTAAACTGTCTCTCGATAAGCCAATCAAGTCGTTTCAAGGACACACAGTACGATTTTTCCCACATAGCCCAGTCAAATTAGACAAATCGGTGGAAAAAAATCCTAGAGTTTACACTTGGGTAGACATACCAGGTGAATAAAAAGTATGGAACCAAGCGTTTTTTTCGTAAACTAAGCACTTTACGAAAAAAATAATTAGTGTAGCGTAAAGGACAATTAAAATGTGACCATTTATCAAGAATAACATTTTTCGAAATTTCTTTTAGTTTTCGAGTTCTGGATTTTTTTTTAAACGGCAACCCACCGTGGTAATTTTTTTAATTAAAGATTATGATTTAAAAATGACCTCTAATTAAATAAAATTGTTTTTTAGCCAGTACTTTTTTTTAATTAATTGTTAAAGTTGCGTTCCGAGCTCATCACGAAGATTTTCCGTACTTAACCGAAGTGGTTGTTTCATGCATTTCATCATGGGAGTGCACTGATTTCTATGCAGGTGCTTTGAGGTGGTTTCGAATGGACTAAAAATAAAAGAAAATGATTTGTTATTAGATTTTTTGATTCATTCGGAACCACCCCAAAGCACCAGCACAAAAAAAACGGGCTCTCCTACAACCAACGTCATGAAACGACTTCCTCGTTCAAGTTCGGAAAATCTTCGTGATGGGCTCGGAACGTAACTTTAACAATTTATTAAAAAAAAGTACTGACTAAAAAACAATTCAGTTTAATTAGAGGTAATTTTTAGATCATAATCTTTGATTAAAAAAATTACCCTGGTGGATTGCTATTAAAAAAAAAATTCCAGAACTCGAAAACTAAAAGAAATTTCGAACAATGTTATTCTGAATAAATGGTCACATTTTAATTGAACTTTACACTAATTATTTTTTTCGTAAAGTGCTTAGTTTACGAAACAAACGCTTGGTTCCATACTTTTTATTCACCTGGTATATCAAAAGTCCCCGAAGGTGGGGGGCGAGCTCGAGAAGGAGGAGGGGGTTAAAGGTGTCTTTTTTTGGTTTTTTGCTTATATCTCGGAAATTATCACTTCTATAGGTTTTTATCTTCTTAGCAAAATTAAAGCTTAAATTTCCTACAAAAATGGTTCTTTGCTTTTTTGTTGTAGGACTAACCATAAGCGAGTTATAGGGCAGAAAAGAAACATCATTTAAAAAAATGTGCTTTATCTGCATTTAAAACAGAATTAGTCTTGTAATTTAAAAAAAAAAAACTGACAGTAAATTGAATTTACTGGGTCCAATACTTCATTAAAGGAAGGGGGAGTCACGAGGGTCTATAAATACAAACTCATCGTTTATGTAATTTATGCAGAATTTTCTATTTCTGCATCACAAAAATGGTCCTATTCATTTTTGTCGTAGGACTAATCGTAGGCTTCAAAAGTTTGGAGTCTACATAAAATTG